CACATAGATGGCGCCACTAGATCAAAAGCATGATATCATTTATGTGTTATGTAATAAAAGATGACGTCATAACTTCATAATACACAATTTCTCCCCCAAATAACAAAGTTTCTAAATGTTGCCATCCTTAAAAACTATTATTAAAATAATAAGTGTAGCCACCCTCAAAAAAAACTAATAAATTAAATAATATTTTAAAAAACGAAACTAAATTAAAAACAGAAACCGAAACTAAAAATATATTAGGCTTAAGAAAAAAAGAAATAAGCTCCCCATGACGCTGCAGACGAAGTTTCGATTTTCAGGCGGGCAGAAATAAGCAAGCGGGCAGAAATAAGCAACTTCCGGTTTGTAGGTGGGCAGAAATAGACAACTTCCGGTTATAGGCGGGCAGAAATAAGCAACTTCCGGTTGAGGCAGAAATAAGCACCCATTGACTTTCCATGATGACGTCACTTCCGTCCCCTCCAGTGCGTGGCCTACTACTATCATCCACGATACGAGCCCTATGTTGGATTGCGTTACCATCCAGTGGAGCAAAATCATCACCTATTGTACCTACACAAGGGCACACATAAGTATGAAGGATATTATCTCTATAAACGTGAGCGCAAACGCTTATACGAAGAAAGGCGTACAGGTCTGTGCATCCACCCAAAGAGATACCACCTACAGTCACTCGAAAAAATATTTTTTCGAGTGACTGTAACACACAGACACTGCCTCCTTGGTATGTATCTCCTTCACGGTTGTGTGATGGATAATATCAGATTCTAATTTCTCTCCAACTGTAACAACGCCTACTATGACGTTGGAGGTTGAACTTAGCCTCATCTATGAAGTGAACAGACATTGGTCAGTTGTCCAGTGTGCATGTTGTTGCATTCACCTCAAGCGTTCTGTTCTAAGGCACGACGAGAGTGAAGCAAATGGTGGATCCACCTTGCAAAAAAAGCCACGTTCGTGAAGACTTTTACGCGTTGTAGTCACGGACACCAATCTTCCGTGAACACCAATCAATCCAGTAGCATTTAGTCGTCCTTGGCTGGATCTTCTGGATACTTAACCTGTGGTTAGAATTTTGTTACTAAAGTCTATGAATAACAGAACGATTTACATTTTGAATGAATGAGTTGCGCCTGATTTTGGGTGTTCTGTCTTGATAAAATTTTATATGCATTTTTATTAAATACACAAGTGGGCGACCTTTGTGCTAGAATACGAACTGATTTTAGCACAAAGACATTTGATTTAGATTCTTAAGAGTCCTTATTTTCAAAAATTCCTAACTGTTGGTCAATGACCTACCCAGCGTTCCTTATCTTTCTCCTGTTTGGAAATCTATGATTAAACCTAACTAACCCCCCTTTTTTGTTCCTTGCTTCCTATTCGTCGTGATCCATTCACCCTTCCCTCCTATTGGCCGTTGCTCTACCCCCCCCCTTGTGACGTCACCTTTCACTATATATTTACCCTGTTTTTTCTCATTTCTTTTTGTTGCACCGATGAAGGTTGCCCTTTGAGCGTCCGAAACAGCTGTCTGCATTTATAAATATTTTTTGTGCTCTTAAACGTTGTTTACCTTAGTATGCATTTTTATTGTTTGCAGAAATGGTGGAGGGGGATTTCAAATTTAGGGGGATGTTCCTATCAACCTTGAGCCTGGAGGGGGAGGAACACTCCTAAGAATACTGCATTCGATTGCCCAAGACGAATGTTTAGAAATTATCTAAACTTATTAAATTATCTATCAGAGGAACTGCTTGCGCATGCGTGAGTCACACTTATATGCAATCGCATATGCGAAACGCAGTGTTAATGATCCATAAACATAGATGTGACTTTGACTTACATCTCCGAATTCTCATTTGCGAATATTTCACATACAGTGAGAATGGTCTTCTACTCGGCAATGGGGTTTCTTAATTTCGCAGTTCTCAGTTTCTTAGTAACACAAAAATAAGCTTTAAAGTTGAGTAAAATAATAAAAAAAATTTAGCCGGTAACCGTTGGTTTGCAGAAAGGCTTGTGTTTTTAGTGAAGAATTTGTCAACTGAAGATTTTTATAATTTTCTAAAGGCTTAAAACAACTACAAAATGACCACATCGTAAGTTATTATGGCTAACGAAACTATACAAAAAATTGTTAAAATTTTTTAAAATATTGTATTTATAAACATGCTTCAATCTGCGTAGTGCAAAGACTACATTATCATTACTTTTTTGAAACTTTATATTGTCTTAAATAACTGGTTGTTGCGCAAATTGTTTTATGAAATTGTTAAAGATTGCAATTTAAATATCTGTGATTTTATAACAGAAATAAGCCTGTGATTTTATAACAGCCGTAGCAGAATAATTTTATTCATAATGTTTTGCATTTTAGTGACCATAATGTTGTAATGTTTTAACTAATCATGTCACTTTTCTTTTTCTGTATTAGATTTATCAACATATTATGAGATTAAATTTCTTAATTCTTGCAATGAGATTAACATTATTTTCATATTTTAAAATTTATGTTATAGGACACTTGAGTTCTTTGTAATAAAAATGTTGCATTGGAATGCTTGTTAGTGTTGATTTTTTTAAATTTAAGACCTGAAGTATTCTTTTCGTTATATTTCTTCTGTATCAAAAGATAACGTTTTACTTTTTCTGTTCTTTTGTATAGGTATTTAATATTGATAGCTTATTTTAAGCCTAGTTTATAAATCTGACATAGTGTGCTTTGCTAAATAATTGTTAAAAGCTGTTAATTTACAAAATTTTAGTAATCCTGTTTTTTCAAATCATGATTTAAAATCCCTTATTGCAATCTATTTACGAAATATAAAAATGTATTTCGTAGTTTCACGATTTTATATCAGAAATCTTGTTTTGTATTCACATTATTTTTAAAGCCACTATTATGATTAGTGTTCAAGTGATTTTAAAACTATTCATCAGAATTCATATTCATGTCTTAAAATCAAACATTGAGATTCGTATAATGTGATTTAAAAATAAAATATCAAAATTAGTATTAAAACAATTTTAAAATCAAATGTCAAGATTCGTACTCACGAGATTTCAAAATCAAACATAGAGATTCGTATTATTTGGATTTTAAAATCAAACATCGAGATTCATATTCATGTGCTTTTAAAGTTAAATGTTAAGAACCGTATTCGCGTGATTTGAAAATTAGACATTGAGATTCATATTCACATAATTTAAATAAATAAAATCATGCATTGATATTTTTTTTGAAACATAGATAACTTCTGTGGATAAATGCTTTCTGCATTCACTTTTTTCTTGTTCCAATTTAAGGCATTTTCGTATTTTTTCAATTATTTAATTAATTTTTGTGCACATGGCAATTTTATATTTCTATATATATATATTTTGTCGATTTTTCACTAAATTCATCCCAGTGGTGTGAATCAATATCATGTTTTTTAATAGATTAAGTCTTGCATTCCACTGCTGTTTGTCACCGAGATTTGGGTATTTTTTTTTTACTCAGGTTTTAATTCAAAATCTTCTGTCTTTAGTCAGAGAAAAAGTAAACCATTGAAATCTGCTCATTTTTAAAACCTTATTTTTGCATTTTGGAGTTAGCATTCTATAGTGCGCATATGAGAAACTCTACGACTGATATGAAAATCAACAAATTATCTGCCGTCAACTGTCGGTGGTAAACAAGATAACATTTCTTTAATTTTACTAAGGAGCAGTGTTACATTTATGATGACATAATTTGTTTTATAGATAAGTAATTAGCAATATGTTTTTTTTTTTTAATTGTACGTTTTTTCATGTGATTAGCTCATTCGTTCATCATAATTTTGTTTGCAAAAATCAGATTACTGAAATATGTTTTATTTCATTCAATTTTGTATTAAAAGTTACTAAATTTATGAAACAACAAGCTGATAATTTCTAAGAACAAATTTCGTTTGGTAATTGCAGAGAAATCGTTAGGTAATAATAAGATGTGAAGATAAAGACTATAAATACAGGTTTTTTTTGAAGTCTGCCAGATCTGAAAAAGCCCACTGAGCTTTTCTGGGCTGGGGGCACCTCTGTGAACTTAGATTCTTATGCTGATTGTTAAGCAATCGTATTGACCATTTTTAATTTCTTCCATTTCGTACAGTTCCTTGCGATCACTGGGAAGAAATAGGTTTCTTCCAGACAAAATGAAAACCCTACTTACAGTATTTAAAATATTAAACTTACGATTCTTTTAGATATTTATTGTGTTTATTATTCAATACTTTTACATTTTACTTCCTTGTTACATATGATTATACTTATTAACATTAACTATTTTTTCTTTAGGTAAGGAATAAGTTAGTGTGAGCAACTTTGTGAATTTGTTAAAAAAGTTCACTAAATAAAATTTTTCTATTTTTTTCTCAAAAACTTACATGTTCATACCAGCCAAGACTCCTGTATTTCACAACTATCTCCTGTTAACTTGTATATTCTCAAATTTTTTCGTATTTGTTAAAGAAATGTAAAAAACATTTTGGTGATAAAATATCCACTGATGGCAAAAATACTTTTATTCCTTAACAGATATTGCTATTACGATAACTGCAGTATGTTGATGGTTAATAATTTAGGGCAAGCCATGATGGCTCTGGGGATAGTGTTCGCCTTTCAATCAGGTGAACCGTGCTTAAATCCCAGTGATGACTGGTCGATACGAATTCCGGTTGTTTCTAGACGTATCCACTCCATGTAACTCAAATGCATGTTAGTTCCATCAAAAAGTCGTTCATAAAGGCAAATTTCTCCTGATACTTGGTCCACGAGTTCCTTTGTGTTCTGGATTGCAGTTCAAAATTGATTGTTGTAAACCCAAAATTGGGTAGGCTGTTGAACGACAGTTATAAAATAAAATAGTTTAAGTAATTATAAATAATGGTTTAATAAAGTCTTTAAGATTTGTATACATATTTTTTATTTCTCTAAATGTAAGTGCTTATATTTCCAATTTTGATTTTTTCATTTTGACTTACATTATTATGCCTGATGTATCAAAACTTTACTCATAGCTTAAAAAATGTTGCTGGTAAAACCTCAGTTATTTAATTTCTCCTATTAGTCTTGAATGGTAGAATGGAAAAGTAATTTATGTATGTACTAGTTTTATATGTACGGTAGTGTTGATTTCTCTAAAAATTTTTAGTCCGCTGAATGATTTGCTCTATTGGCGATTTGTTTATGTTATCTATTATCATTGAATTATTTATTGTTACATTGCTACCTATTATTATAGAAATTGCTTAATTTCTTTTTTGTTTTAGATTGTTACAAAAACCTAAGTCAGAAATGACACCAGAAGAACTTGCTAAACGAGAAGAAGAAGAGTTCAATACTGGTCCTCTGTCTGTTTTGACTCAATCTGTGAAAAATAACACTCAAGTTTTGATAAATTGCAGAAATAATAAAAAGCTGCTTGGCAGAGTAAAAGCATTTGACAGGTATTTTATACATTATAAACTATTATTCAGAAAATATAGGTTGATTTTTTTAATAGCAATTACAGTCGAACCCCGATTAACCGAGGCAGTAACGAAGTCTAAATTTTTTTTCTTTCTCCTCTCCAAAATGAGCTTGGAAGAAATTATACACATATTAGTTCGTTGTCTGTGTTACAGGCACTTATTTCCCACAAAAGCACTCAACTTCCATGAAATATTACACCCTGAGAAGACAACATCCATGAATTCTTTGTTAACAGTGGTCATGTGACTTGTAAGTTTAATCATGTAAATTTTAAAAATACAATATTTTCTTGAGATTTGTGTTATTTTTGAAAATGCGTCTAATTAAGTAAAAAAAATTCCATTTTACTTTTTAAAATTTACTACTAGAGTTGATTCCCTTTTTAAGTCTTTTTAGCTGTGAATCATAAGTTCATATATGTTTATTTTTATCATTTAAAAAACGTTCTGTTGTTTTTTACTTTAAAAGTAGTTAAATTCGCTAGCACGGATGGTTTTTATACATGATTCCTATTAACCGAGATTTCCGATATCCGAGGTACTAGCGGTCCCAATTAGCTCGGACAATCGAGGTCTTACTGTATTGTGTTATGTTAGCATGAATGCCACTCTTCAGTTCTTGGGACTGAAATCAGTTAAGGGACTAAATTCCATCAATTAATATCTTTTACCCAATTCTTTTTTAAATGAAATTTTCTTTTATTTTTCCTAAAAAATAAATTTTAATGAAAACATTATTTTTTATATTTATTGCTAAATGATCAAGTCATTATGTTACACCGCAATGAAAGAATAAGATTGAATAAACTTCCACATTTGCTTGTGTAAATAAATTTTGTATTATAGTTGAATATACATCTGATTTAGTTTGCACTTCCCAATGTTTTGAAATGCCGTCCAAAGTTAAATTATGTAATGTTGTTATGTTTTTCATTTAATCTAAATATCTATTTTGTTTTTGTATAAATTTTGTTCATTTTTGAAAAATAACTAAGTGAGCATTAATGGACTACATTTTTGAATCTTGCTTTGTTAATCAGTGTATATGTACTTTATTTATTCATATTTTTGAAATATATTTTATCACTGTTAAACTTCTGTTACTAATCAGAAATTTTTCACGTTGAATCTAGGTTTTATTTTATCTAGGTTTTATTTTATATTTATTCTAACTATAATTGTAATTATCCTTTTTTTTTTCCTTCTTTGGTATTATAAATGTTGTATAATTCTCTCAAAATATTGCACAATTGCACAGCCGCTCATTTGTTTTATTTAATTTATTGTATGTTATCAATAATTTTTTTAGTTTTTATTCTCCAGTGTTTAATCATTTAAAATTTTCAAACTATCTAATTATGCATAAGTTTTTAAGCTTGAATGGTTTCTGGATTTTCAATTTGAATAGTTGATAGTTTTTCTTATTTTATTTGTGTGTTTTGCAGTTATTAATTTTGTTAAAACATGTTTTTATTTAGACCATGTACTGAATAATTCAAATATTCAGTTAGAGCTTAAAAGCTCCATTATTTTATCTAACACTGATAGAAACTTTTTTTTTCTTAATGTGAAGAATATTTTAATAGTTTATTAGGTAAATAATATGTATTTGCCATTGTTTTTTTCCCCTCTCCTTTTTAAATTGTTATCTCTCTTTATGCATGTATATGTTTATCTGTCCACCTTCCCTGCCACCAATATTGCCTGTATTTTCCTATCTAAGTTGGCTAAACTTGAGTCATAAGTAGGGTTGCAAGTTTGTCGCGGAAAAAAAGACATAAACTCGCGGGTGATTCGCGCGCAAAAGTTTTAAAAATTCGCAAAATTTTCGCGGATAACATATGCACTGATATTTACACCAAAAATCAATTTAAAAATAATAAAAAACATAAAAAAGCTACAAAATTTTATTTTTAAGCAATATTAATGCAGTTACTTAAATGAGCAGAATTTTAATACAAAATATTATACATGGTTAGGTTATTCTCACTAATGTTTCTCCTTTCATCACTCAATACATTTTTGTATTTTGAAAAAGATCGTTTGGCATCCATGCTATTAGATGGTACTGACAAACATCGAATTGCCACTTTAGACAGTTTTGGATAGTGTTCCACCTTCGATTTCCAAAACTGAATTAATTGTCTACTTTCAACGTATAGTTCATTAACTGTCGCTTTGTAAGCATTAAATTCGTTCTTCAACTCTTCTTCATCCTCAAACATGAGGATAGAGTTAAAAATAAAAGAATTATCATCTTCTTGGAAAACATCTAAGTATTTGAATGGACTAGGATCAAAAGCTCTGCATGCTTTAAAAAAGCTTGATGCTGGTTGACGAAATCTGTGTGTTGTAATATTGCCTTCAAAAAAGTATGCCTGAATTTTTTCCTGGCATGATTTTAAAGCTTTTTTAGATTCAAAGTGCTGGCAGGTTATAAATTTGCTTTTTAAATCTTCAGCAAGATCAGACATTTCATTCATTCAGGCGTTTTTGCCCTTTTCAACTAAAAAGGCTCGAAATTGACCCTTACGTGAAGGACGTGCTGTGAATGCACGCTTTAAATTCACAATAAAAGAATTCACTTTTTCAAATTGATTTTGCCATATTTCTCCTAGGAGATTTAAAAGATGTGCATTGCAAGTCACATGAACAGCATTCAAGAAAACTGCTTTCAAACTTTAGCATATAGTTATTGGAAGTATGTATAAATTGTGTGAAGCAGTTTTTAAGGATGTATAATAAATATAAATTCTTGCTAGCTCTATCATTCACTTCATAGATTAATATACACTTATGCTGTGGTAAAATTCTTTTTTAATGTTTACAATACAAAACTGATTTTAGTATTGTAAATTAGATATTCTCTCTCTCAGATTAAAAAAGGAGATTTTTGATTATCAATTCTCAAATTTTGCGTTCAAATTTATACGGTATAAAATCTTCTGGATTTTTAGAAAAATCTTCTGGATTTTTTTTCCTGGAGGTTGGCAGGTATGCTGTAGTTTCATCCGTCATAATACTTACACCAGCTGCAGAGGCTAAAATATCGGCAACTTGATTCTTATGAAATTCGTGAATCTTAGGCAGGTAGTGGTTTCGTAAGTGGCTAGAGCTTGGAATGACACCAATATCTTTAAGGGAATTTTCCAGGTAACCCTTCAGTGCAGGATTATCTAGCTTGTTCAGGGGAATGTTTGCCGCTGCAAATACACCTACCAACTTTGAAAGTTGAACACCACGGTGTTGCTCTAGAAGGGTTTTTTTTCAAACAACTTTTTAATACCTGTTTGAGTTACACTGGGTTCACTGGTTTTCTTTTTTAGATATAGTTTACTTTTTAAATGTTTTTCACAGCTATCTTTCCTCGAAAAATCAACTCGAACATTGCAATTGGCACAAAACAAAAGATTCTTTCTTACTTCAAAAGTTCCTTTTTTATATTGCTTATAACGCTCGAGAGCAGTTATCTTGCTCGTATGGCTCATTTTACCATCTAAGAAGAACTGAAAACTTTACTTAACCTCGCTTGAAAATGAAATGAGATATTTTGAGTAGACTTTGCATTATTTTTGTAGGAATGAAATTTACAATACATTTTCCTATTATCCATCAAAAGATTAAAAGAGCCGCTCTTGAGTATTCTATTGTTAACAAGCATTTCCACATGCCTTTCTTAACCTATTGAAATAATCAGTGTAAATATATGTACCTTCTCACTACTAGGAATTTCCTGTGAAAGAGTCAAAATTTTTCTTCTTTTGTTTTCCTTTATCTTTTATATTCTAGTTGACTGTTAGGAAAGGGAGGCATTGGTGTCAATCAGTCAACAAAAAGATGAGAAGACCACCCTTTTTGTGACCACCAGTCTTTAATCAACTTTTCAGTCCTACTAATTCCAGCAATGAAATTCAATCCCCCAAATAATTTGTCAACTACAAATGTCTTGTGGTTGCCCCCCCCCCTTTACATGGTGAGTGCTATAAGATAGGGGCTCATACAGTGAGAGGACTGTCCCTCTGGTCAATGGAGGAGGAGATAAGAATTGATAGATTTATGAAGAATTAGAATGTAGAAAATCTTATCTTTCAGTTTGTTCATGGTATTCAATTTCAATACAAAAAAGCGAGGAGCTTGTATAGAGCCTAACCCAATTCTAATGTCATTTTGCTAGATACTTTTGTGAATGCTTTGAAAAAATATAATCAATTTTTAAACTTCAGAAAAATAATAACAACAAATATATTTTTATTGATAAGATAAAACAGAAAAAAATAACTTCAAATTGTGAATAATTTTCATTTAAATCGCACAAATTGAATAACTTTCGTTCAAATCGCGCAATTTAAAAAAATTCGCGAATTTTTGAAAAAAACTTGAAATTTCGCGGAAACGGTCGCGGAAATTTCGCGCCGCGACAAACTTGCAACCCTAGTCATAAGTGCTGGATCTGTTATAAATGCACCATATGCTTATAAGAAGAAAAAAAATATCTGATTTTGTACAAAAAGCTTGGAATACAACAAAATTTTTATTGCATTTTCCCCATAAAATACATTTATTGTTGCTCTGCTTTTTAAATAAGATATTTAAAATTATCTTATTTAAAAAGCAGAGCATTAAAATTCTTTTAATTCTAAAATGTTCTATTCCTCTCAATGCATTTGCTGCAATAGGCAGATTTTGGGGATAGTTATCTTTTTAAAAACACTGTTTGCTCCAATAAGACAGACTCTTTAAAGACAGATTTTAAATTTTTTATTTTCTAAAGAAAGCTATACATTAATTTCACTATAATTAGTTTTTCATTTTTAGAACATCAATTGCAATTTTCTATATAAATTGAGTTCCTGGATTGATCGTAAGACGCAGTTCTAGATAGAATGCCGAAATTAGGCATCACTGACTGCTGTTGGTGTGCGGGTGGGTGACCTCTTTGATCAGGCTACTAAGAGACAGAGGGCGTGAGGTATCTGCCTTTTTTAGACTGTTCTACCGCAAAGTGCTCAACTTTGTGCGCAGGGTTGTTGGGCTACCAAAGTGGGGGAGCCACCCCCCGCATTGATCCGTGCATCAAAATTGTCATGGCATGTCTTCGGTTTTTCATCAGGGACGTTTCCCAGACTGTCACCAATAGCCCATTGTTCCGCTCTAGTGCAATGTAAATAAACAACCAACTAGATAAATTGAATACAAATAATTGAAGTTTTACTGTATTTAAGTTGATAGTGTTATTCTTTTCCTGGTTTCTTTGTGAGCAAT